AACGACCTGTTTGCTGCTTCAAGAGTTCCTATGTACAAGATATTTCATTAAGCCCCAAATCATGTCATTTCAAACCAGATGGTGCTTCATACTGAAATTACCTGGATTATATGGACTATCAGTGGAATTATAAACAATTTGGCAAGTACTATCTGCTAGCTAGCACGCTCGGATTTCTCCCACCTTAGCTAACATATCTTACACTGTTTAGTATTTTTCTTTAAAAGTTTCAGGTGTAACAGTATAGACAAGATTTTGAACAACAAATCATTTTTCTATGTTGTGAATCCACAGAGCAGTTCAACACAGGGAGGCTACTGTGTTGTTAATTTATTCCCTTGTTAGTGTACATTAATCCTCCATGTAACCAAGCCCTTCCTTAAGCTCATTTCAGTGTAAATCATTTCTACAAGATGAGCTGGCACCCATGAGCAAAACCAGAGGGTGAATAAAGCTTTGGATAATCTTATATCCACCTAATGACGAGCATACAACCATTTCAGTCCATTTTTTACCCCTACCCATTGAGGGGGACCTGCCCTTGCCCTCCTTATTTAACAACATTTTTTTTTCTTCTGCATATATTAAATTTTGTATTCTTTATTAATATTAGCATCTGAAAAGCAGAAACAGATGGCTCTAATTATTTAGCCATCATTTTATCACTAAAAATCAAATTAAAAAAGCTTTCCTAGAATGACTTTCCTCATCTGTTTCATGTTTTCCATCTTTATTTTGGGAGAAATATGACAGAAAGTTTATTTTTCTATCTGGTGCCTGCTTCCTTTGCCAGATAGTTGAGGGACAGCTGTTAATTGTTTACTGTCCATTTGCCTGCAGCTCTGTTAGCTACACTGCCAGGAAAGCCCTCCAAGCAGCCACGTAGGTGACAGTGTTTTGATGCTGTAGTCACTTCATATATAAGGGTAAGGCCACATCATAATTTATGTGAGTTGTCAGGCCCTCCAACGGCTCACAGAGTCAAAATGCAAATGATTGTAGCATTAATTCAGAAGGAGTCAAGCAGAGCGAGCAGGGTTAGCAAGTACGCCAGAAGCTGGCCCTGGTGAAATTACTGGCATCTTCATGGGCTGCTTGTTTACATTTGGATTTTTGACCTAAACAATCAGGTCATTCTGGATGGTGCCTTTGAAATGGATGTGTCTTCAGCAGAGTGCTCAGGATTCTGTCCCAGAACCAAAATATGGAGGGATGCAAAGTGAGTCAGGGGGAAAAATGGACCAGTGAACTAATTTTAAGTAAGCACTTCAAAACTTGGTTCACACATTAAATATTCAATATATTAATTGAGCAAAATGTAATGCCTTCCTTCATTATCATTATGTTAAATTACATCCTTAAAGAGTAGGAGCAAGACTGAGGCTTATACAGAACAGCCTTTTCAGTCTACATTGCATGGCTGTGATGATACTGAGCAGTCATTAATACACTTGAGATAGGTGTGCTGAATCCAGGTAAGCTGTACATCACCATAGCAGTGTGAAACAGCTGAAGGGGAACTTCTCCCAATGCATCTTTTAAATTTTTAAAGTTTTTTTCAGTTGCATTCTCAAGAGGTTTAAATTTGGAGATAATAAAATAGGCTAAAGTATAAAGTCAAAGTATAGCACAGTATGTCTCAGTGACATGAGATGGATGCAAAATCTGTGCTTTACCAAATCTAAAAGGCAGGACCTTCCCCATAGTGCAAACTAATCTTTTGCTGATTCATAGCAGCTGTCATTGACCATTTGGTACATAATTTTGGTGCTAAGAGAGGCTAATATGGACATAACACAGTAAAACTTATCAGTGTCTATAGTGAATGCAACCTGCTATATGTAGTTGCTGTTCTGCTTACCAAGTTATCTGGAAAGATTTGTAATAGTTATTTGCGTTTTCTTGTGTTAAAACACTCATAGTAACCTGGAATATTCTCCTAGAATTTCATTTTATTCTTACTAGTTGTGTAAAACTAAAAGTACAAAAAAGAAATGCATAGAGTAGTAACAGCTTTTGAGAAGATATGCAAAAACCAGCTTCTCCTTAAAGCTCATCTGTAAGCTTGTAATTTCTTTTTTATATTTCTAGCTCTCTTTATGTGGTAAAATATTTACATTGGCAAGTATTTATCTTGTTAATTAAAACTGCTAAAAGGCCAGTTTCTCAGAGTTGACACTGTAGGAAAAGAGAAAAAGCCTAAATTTAATTGCTATCCTAAAACCTTGATCATAGTGCTACTTGCCTCCAGTTGGATGTTATGCTGTATTGAAGATGGCTCTGTATTAGAAAAGCAGCATTTGCTCACCACAGTAGATTTTAAATTGTCAACCTTAAGAGTATTTGAATATTTAAATTTAAATTTTTCTATTGTTAAAACATGCTAAAGTGGTGAAATACATTACGTGAGTAAAATGAGGTGTATATTCTCCTTGATTAGCCTACATCTATTTGTACTGGTTTAGCCTGTATTATTTAGAAATTTTCCACCAGTTTAATGAAATTATTTTTCATCCAAGTTGAGGTTTTCTATTGAAATATATCTCTCTACACACACGCACACACATAGATATGCACATTTTTCCTCTCAGATTCAAAGGGATGTGTTATAAATGGCTCTAAGTCTTTGTCAGCTTGCCCTGTTTCATTCAGCTTGGATGCCTGCCACATTCTGCTCTCTCAGGGTAACACCAGCAGAGGGAATGAGTACCTGTCTTTCCATTCAGGTCTGAAAGTTATCTGACTGCTATTAATATTGGAGCAGAAGTGGCCATGGTATTTCATGGACTCCCCTGGAGGCAAGATCCAAAGTCTGTGTAATCCAAACATCCCTCATTTTAACTTCTCACTGAGATGGAAGGCTCTGTGTAATCCCTGGTATTTATTGCTTTCCAGATTCCACTCTGTAAGCATCAATAGTTTGTTTCATCCACTACTGCCAGCAAACTGTAAGCTGAGTTAACAAATGTGTCATATGAGATATTTTTCAGCTTTTGACAGTGCTCACTACCCGCAAATGAGTAAATGAGGCCAAAATGTTCAAGTCAGCTTCTCTTCAGCACAGAGATAAGGTGAGACACCTTTGGGTGTGAAATTCGTAGTCCATTTCTCAAATTAATTTCTGCAACAGTGAATTCCCATATGTTGAAGTAAAACATAAATCATATGACAGGCAAGCACTACTTGCCCTGAATTATATTTATATAATAGCCCTCTATATAATAAACCTCTTGATAGAAGCAAATCCTTGGCATGCCTAACAGATAAGCTGGAAAGGAAGAAAAAAAAAGAAGCCTTTTCCTTTCTCCCCAGTTAGCCTCTTTGGTATGCATTGCCAGAAATGTGGCAGGGTTACACTTCAGTGCACACACACTGCTAAGAGTACTGGCTTTGAGAGAGAAGGAGAGGCATTACCATGCTTAAGTTGCATGCCCAGGCAGCCCTGCTCTGAGAGCACAGTGCTGGCTCTGCCTGGTGCCACCAAACAGCTGTGACAGCTTTCTTTGCTGGGCCACCTCACCATGCCCTGCCTGCTCTTACACAACTTCTCACACCTTTCTCAAGGGTAAATCCTACTTTTTCAGTGATGTGATCTCTGTATGGTGAAGTGCCATATAGGCAGTAGCCGTCCTGTCAAGGGTAGAGTCTGCCAGAAGACTGAGAAGTCTTGAAAGCACCTTCCTGCTTTGAATTCATAGCTTTTGTACTTTTTACTACATCACTTCAGTCCAGGGAGCTTTGCTGTCACATTTCTGGCCCCAGCCTGCTGCTGTGTTTGTGCTCAGGGTGTGCGATGCACTCCACCATGCCCTCCCTATTGCCAAATGCAGCATCCCCAGGGCATGCCCCAGGAGGTTGCAGAGCTGGGGGGATAATGCCCTCAGCTAGGACTGTTGTACAGGGAGGGAGCTGTATTCTGTGCACTTCACAGATGAGTGAGGAATATAAGGCAGAAAGGAGAAGCAGCAGTATGGGAGATTAGGATGTAGCTATGGGAAAGAAAGGGTGTACTCATCATTTTAAAAATGGCTGCTTAAATGCTACAAGTGGTTATCATCACACAGTTATCATATTTACCTGTTCTGTCACCCATATCCTCTCTCACAGGCCTTATCACACACTCCACACATTGCTGAGCTGTGCAGTGGAGAAAGGGGGTGAAGTGAAGCAGGTGCCAAGCTGTGGCAAGGTGTCACACCTTTGACTCAGTTCTCCAGGTCTGATGGCGAGTGTGAGGCTTAGCTGCTTGTAACTTAGTAAATAAGAATCTCCACAAGGCAATTTGGACTCTTCTCATTGTTAATGCTAATGCAAGCTGAGTGAATTAGCTGTAGGCTGCCTTGCTGCTGAATGTAGCCAGTGATTAATCTGAATTTGATTTAAAAAAATTGCAGAGCGAGACTATTCATGTGCTGAAGATACAGAGCAGTGAAAGAGGTGTCAAAACTATTTAATGTATGTTTTCTTACACTGGCAGAGCTAGAGCTGCTGTTATACCTCTCATCTCCTCTCTTTTGCATGGGGAATTCCCAGGCTTTGTATCACCAAGTTAGTGGATGGTGAACCTGGGGAGACCCAGGGGATTTAATGTTTGTAAGTGTGGGATTTGTTCCTAATACAACCAAACTGCAACAGGTTATTTCTTGCTGTCAGTCTGTGTTGTCAGCCAGCTCTGTGCTCCAGAGTGCAGCAGTTACCCAGAGCAAGTTTCATGCTCATGCTTCTTTGCCTTTTTCAAATCATCATCATAACTTCCTGAGGTGTCTTTTCCAGTCTGGTTTCTCTGTTGCTCCTTTCTTAAGATAAATGTCTACTGTCAAAAATATGAAAGTTACCTGAGGGCAACCTGATTGCAGGGGATGTGAAAAGAACTCAGAAGTGTGTATTTTATTTGCACGAGCTGTGGAAATGAATGCCAACAGCCTGAGCATGTGTTCCATGGACTAAGGGTCCCAAATGGGCTAACCTTTCCTTTTCCTCTGTTTTCCCTTCAGGGTTTGAACATGAGTACCCAGCCACACACTGTGACCAAGGCAGAGATCCCTGGCCACATTCTTTACACCGTAGGAACATGTGTGCTCATTATTGGCTCCATTGGCATCATTGGAAACCTCCTAGTCCTCTACGCATTTTACAGGTACAAAAATTCCTTTTGTGGTTGATTTGAGTGGCCTTGAGTGTCACCTGTGCCCACGTGCAGATTTCTGCATTGTTTTCCTCTTGGATTAAATCTAATGGCAACAAATGTGGGGGGAAAGAGAGGAGAAGACAACTCTACACAGATGAAAACACATTTATGTGTATCGTAGACAACCTCAGTGTAAATTCCTGGTGGTTTAAAGAATCAAATAAAATGAGAAAATAATGCCTTGTTCTATAAACAATTTCCAATTGAAAGTTTAAAGAATGGTTTAACACTTCTAATGATAGAAACTACAGTCTCTCAGCTACAGGCCTCTTCACTGACCCTATAGCATTTCCACAAATACTTGACAAACACTGATGCTCCTCACAGGAGCCCAGTGGTCCTGAAAGGACCAAGAAAGCAATCTGTTACATGAAATGAGCTCATGCCACCAGTGTATTTTCTGTTTCAGCCAGGTCATAGGATTTCTGTCAGTTTGTGTGCTTTTTTTGCAGAGTAATAGGCAGCCAAAGTTACTGGCAGCTAGAGTATGCAAAAATCTCATGGGAAAAAGAAACATCTGCCCTCTGTCCCACAATGTGGGGATGGATTTCAAAATCCACTTCATTCGCTACTTGCTGTCATTATGCATAGTGATGCAGCAGGGCCTCACAATGCTAGAGACACCATAGGGTTATGAACCAAGCATTAGTTTCCTATTCTTAAACATTTAAGACAAATAAATCAGTTATTTTGAATAACTGGCTTCTAATATGATTTAGAGAAAATTAATTCCCCACAAGTGTAGATGCTTTCATGACTTTTTAAAATGCAGCACAAGCTCTGTATTCATCTTGAAATGTGTGTGGTTTATCTGGTGTACTGCATTAAATTGTCAAAGTAGGAATATCTGCATGGGCAGATTAGCACCTGGGAATATATGAACTCTCACTTACCTTGTTTTTGCAGACAGTTATGAAACCCAAGAATTTATTAGAATTGCAGCAGCACTGAGATGGCTTTCTCACTTTCTTTTCCAGCATTTATCAGCACAAGGAAAGAAATTAATGTTAGCTGCAAATATTGATATTGCAAAGCACATCAGAAAGGTCTCAGATGTTTTCCTTGGATAAATTTTGCTAGCAGACCTCTGCTTTCACACTCCTTGTTGTGGTGTTTAATGCAGCCTGTTCACCTGCAACTGATAGTTTTCATTCTCTCTTATGAGATGTGTATAACCAAAAGCACTTTCTCTAAGTCTCTGTGTGTGCTCTGCTCATGCTGTAGCACTTTGCAAAAGGTCATTTAGCCAGTGGTGTGTCAAGCACTTCAGGCCAACTGTGTCAACACGCTATCTCAGGTCAGCAGTTTTTAAAGTATCACCAGAAGTAGATCCTTTGGCTCTGTAACTTTCTTCAGATCTTCCTCATGTGCAGTGCAAGGCACAATCAATATCACAGCACTCCTAGGGAGCTGCTCTTCTGAAAAAAATCCATATTTATCAAGACAGCTGAAATTCTCCTTAGCTTGAAGAAGAAACAATCTATTTTATGGCTCCTGGTCTTTTCAATCATTTTGAAATGACTACAGCTGTAGCTGTAGTAATTGACTGATGATTAGCAATTGATTCAGTGTGAGTAACCATTGATTTCAACCTGGACAGTATTTGTTTATGCTAGTAAACAAAGTTATAAAGTTAACTTTCCACTTTGTCTTTTTAAAATTATGTATTTCTCATGTTTTTAAGCAACAAGAAGCTGAGGACTCCCCAAAACTACTTTATAATGAATTTAGCTGTGAGCGACTTCCTGATGTCGGCTTCTCAGGCACCCATATGCTTTGTCAACAGCTTGCACAGAGAATGGATACTTGGAGACATAGGTACTTTTCACCACTAATTCACACCTTGCCAGCTTTACACTGCTTGCACCTGTTTCAGCCGCAACAGCCTTGGCTTGTGCCACGGCTAGAGCAGCACAAATCTCTTGAGTCACAGCCCCAGACATCGTCAGTCAGTGTGATGTCACATGTTTTGTGTTACAGCTGTCATTCTTTTATCTAACATATTTTGGAAAGGAAAGAGTCAAGATCCGCCTTTAGCTTCTAAGGGCGATGTTATGGCTGAAAGTAGTAGAAAAGTTTAAGTAAGTTGTAAATAATTTTTCTCTATCATTTTGAGGGCTAGTTACTACTTTTAGTTAGAAATGTATGTTGATCATTGATCAAGTGTATTGTTGAACATTGGCGTGCTTTGAGGAATCTCATATTTCATTAAGAGATTTAAATAACAATAGTCGTTTGAGGAATCAGCAAATTCAAGCCTCTTTCTTTCCAACTGCAAGAAAGAAAAGGTGATCTATGCTGAAATTAATGCTGAATTGTGGGTATAGCAAGAACTCAGAAGACTCAATGCTGGTTCATCCCTCATATTATGGATGAAAACTTGCACCCACTGGTGGCTGTACAGTCGTGGAGCAAGCCCAGAGACCTTGTACTGCTCAGCAGCACAGAAGGGACTCTGCCTTAGTTTGGAGATATTTTTAGTCTTGCTCATCCCCTTAGATAAAATCAGTGCAAATTACCATGCTGTCACAAAGTATTTGATCTGGGTTGAGTGGGATTTGGTCCTTAGTTCCAAGTTACTTGTACAAACTTTGGAATTCTGCTTTAAGGTTGGATCTGGTGGTTTTGCTGTCTGTCACTCCTTGCCTACAACCACATGGGGCAATGCAAGATCTCAAAAAATGGACGATCTTTCCACAGGTTGCTCCATTAAATTCAGTGTAACTTTTTCCATCTGGTAGTGCAGTGCCTGAATGCAGAGGGGGTTAAGAGGTCTGTTTCATGTAAAAAATGTCAGTTCTTTTAAAAAGTACTGCCATTAAACATAGGAGTTGGAGCTATGTTTTACACTTGGCCTCTTAGTCACCAAATTTAAACCACTTCTACATTTTTAAGCCACATAAACCAAAGTAATTTCTTGAACCACCCATCCATCATTAGACAGATGTCTGCTGCAGCATGTTAAGATCAATATATTGGGCAACAGTCCAGGAAAATTAGATTGGATTTTCCTTGAGGCTGTTTTCCATTGACAAAACATTCCAAAGCAGTCCCAGCCTGCAGTGAAGTAGGACTCGTTTAAATACATATATTTCTATTTTGTTTATATTTATGCTTTTCTAATAAACACTTAATAACTATGCATATGTGAAGCTAAGAAAAAGCTTCTATTGAGAGAGAAGACCTGGGCAATGAACAAACCAGGGAGATTTATTACAATGAACTCTGAGAGAAAGCACACCTCTTTTCAAGAAAATCCCTGACATTGCCATTTCCTTCTTCAGGCTGTAACTTGTATGCTTTCTGTGGGGCTCTCTTTGGGATAACCTCGATGATGACTCTGTTGGCAATCTCTGTTGACCGCTACCTGGTGATCACAAAGCCCCTGCAGTCCATCCAGTGGACTTCCAAGAGACGCACCGTGCAGATCATCGCCTTGGTGTGGCTCTACTCCCTGGGATGGAGCGTGGCTCCGCTCCTCGGCTGGAGTATGTTGTCTACTCTGTCTCTCTCTCTCCTAGCATTCCCTGTGTGCTTTTTTTAGTCTAGCTGGGTGTGTAAAAAAATGAGTTTTCTTATCAGTCCTCACGAAGATGCCCTGCTACCACCAGATGGTTTGTTGTTGGAGCACACATCTGCACCTACTGCACTGTACAAACACTCTGCCCCCTACACCCAGGGTGTGTTAAAGCAGAACAACCTGCAGATGGAGTATTAGATGTGTACCTGACAGTTCTCTAGTCAGGACCTACTCTCCACCTGGGCACTCACTTCTCAGACTACATATATGATGTGTAGTTTGACTGGTACAGCTCTTGAAGACCACGGATACAGGACAGGATTTATTTTAAGTGCTTAGTGGCTGGATCAGCACCTGCACTAACTTTGGATGCATGTGTGAATCATGTATTCTATGTATTTCACAGGTTCCTATGTGCCCGAGGGCTTGATGATATCCTGTACATGGGACTATGTAACCTACTCCCCTGCAAACAGAAGCTACACCATGATTTTATGCTGCTGTGTGTTTTTTATCCCCCTGGTAATAATATTCCACTGCTATTTATCGATGTTCCTGGCCATAAGGCGTACTGGCAGGTAAGCAATCTAGCTGAAAGAAGTACATATCCCGTTTTGTGTAACAGCAGGTTTTCTCAGTTTCTTTAGCTGCAGAAAAATCTGAATCAAAAATTTGTCTGAATTGAAACAGAAGAACTATTTTTTGCCAATTTAAAACTGGAATGGATATATGAATTTCAGAGTAGAAGAAATCTCTGGTGGTTCTAATCTTATTCCACTGCAGTAATTAATAGTACATCAGATACTTGTATTTAGTTATTTGTATTTCAGATTTGCACTACAAGAAACAATGTCCTTGTGTATTCCAGCAGTTTTCAGCCTCAAGGGATAATAAAAAACATGTAGCAATGTGGGAATCATCTGCCTTTGAGCATCTCTGTAAGCAAAACAGTCCTCATTTTTTTTGACAGTTTTATTTAAGGCAAGCATCAAAAAAACCATCATGCTTCATCAAGCATCACAACTGCATGCACAATATTTGGCTATATTGCTCATATGTTTCTCCCCAAACAATTTTTGGCCTGTATTTGAAATAAAAACTCAGCAGGGTGTTAGATCTGTAAACTAACATCATTCTATCAGTTCTTTTTCTGCTAATGAGCACATGGCTTATCTTCGGTCTGATCCAACACCAGCTGGTGCTGTGAGTCCTTCCTGCTGCTCAGCTGTGTTATCAGTTCTGATGGCTTTTCTCCGCTTGTGTGCAGGCACTTGTTGAAATCATTTGGCTTTGTAAGCCTAAATTACACTTTAGGCATACATTTATGTACGCCTAAAATGAAATTATTTCTGAACTCTACTTTTTGGCCTTTTGGCTTTTATTGTGCTTTGTGTATGTATACTTGACAGCAAGCGAAGGAATGCATCCTTAAAATAATGGTGCCTTGTACACCCATGGAGCACAGTGGACATGAGCTTTTTCTATGCCCTTTACAAGGCCAGGCTGGACGGAGCTTTGAGCACCCTGGTCTAGGTGAAGGTGTCCCTGGTCATGGCAGGCATGTTGGAACTAGATGACCTTCAATCTCCCTTCCAACCCAGGCCATTCTATGTTTCTTTGATTCTTTTTCTATATTTACATTGTGCCACCAGGAGCTTTGTTACCCTACTAGATGGTAATTAATGTCTTCAGCCTGAAATGTATCTCCATTTAACAACAGCAATATGTAAAATTTGTTATTTCTATATTAAAGAATATAAAATGCTTAACTATATAAAACCTTTTAAAATAAAATGTGGGGTATTTGGTGTGAGAAGAGAATTTGATTTTTCATGACAAAATATTAGGACTGCCTGTTGTACCTCCCACTGAAAATACTGTTTGATAAATAAATCTGCAGGTGAGTAAAAATGTCCTTGCAAGTGTTTGGAACAGGTTTCTCAAAGCTGTCAGGGTATTCCAGCATGTGTTTCCTCATGAATTGGAATTTCTGCAAGCTGCTACTCCCTCAAAAAGAAAAAGACATAAGACTTGATTTTGCCATTCAGCTGGGTCTTTTCTTACTCCACCTCTAAAAGCAATGAAGAGATACCAATTTCTGTATCTTTGAAACCTGAAACCCTTCTTGTGTTAGGGATGAGAACACCTCAGTCATGGCCTGTAGTCCCAGCGGTTCTGGCCCAGTCTCCCAGGCAAACATAACACTTGAAACCACATCAATTACCTTCCAGAGTTTTTAAATATCAGAGGAGAAAAGAAGAGTAAGAGTGGTGAAATAAGAAATTTACTTCATTTTGCATATGGCTGAGAACATATTAGAGATAATGGTTTTTTGTTGTCCTGCTGAAATAGCTGTGTTTTCCCCCCCTTACAGAGATGTTCAAAACCTGGGGTCCTGCAGCCGGAAATCCTACGTCTCTCAGTCCATCAAGAATGAGTGGAAGCTGGCAAAAATTGCTTTTGTCGTCATTATTGTGTTCGTCTTGTCCTGGTCTCCATATGCTTGTGTCACCCTGATTGCCTGGGCAGGGTAAGTAGAAGAGGAATCAAAAAAGCAGGGATTAAGCAGATAAGATTAGTACTATCATCCACATCAGGCAAATCTCCTTTTTGAATGGGTCTTAAATAATTACTACATTAGAAGTGATATTTCATACTTCACTATATTGTTGTGAATAAAGCCAGAAAAGGAATTATTTGTCTATGCATTTTGAAATGAGTATGAATTTTTAGTCTTAATATTTGATACACATTTTCTCTCCCACATGATGCCTTTTTTGTATAAATTGGAGGAGTTACTTCCTTTATCTCCTAATACCCTCCTCCCTTCCATACACTGATGTCTCCTCCACCCATTTTCTGCTCCAAAGGGACCTGGTGTCTTGTCAATGCATGTTCTACTCTTCAAGGCCAGGTTGGATGGGGCCTTGAGCAGGCTCATCTAGTGGAAGATGTCCTTGCCCATGGCAGAGAGTTTGGCTGGATGATCTTTAAAGGTGTCTTCCAACCCAAATAATTCTGTGATATCATGATATTAACTGTGTTTGTGCTGCACTGACATTGGTCACACCTGACTGATTGTGGGAGCTTAAAGTCTAAAGGGAAATATTCATTTCAAACCACTTCCAATCCTCTCTTCCTTCTGCAATGTTTAGAACTGAATCACTGACATGCATTATTGTGCAGCACACATGCTGCTGCTGAAAGATTTTTTAGGTTTGATTATGTTTTCTTTTCTATCATCATTCACTTTTCCCAGATGGCCACAATGGGAGTTCTTTTGTTGAGGTTTTGGGTTTCTTTATTTTTGTTTATTGCAGAAACAGGGAAGGTGATTCTTTGTGTTCCTAGTCATCCTAAAATTACTTACTGCATGTCTTTGATCTTCTCTAAATGAATGAAACCAAGTACATGCTGTCAAATTCAAACCTTTCATCTGAGCAAAAAAATCACTTGAATTAATCAACTTTACAGGTGTGTTTCTTATAAAAAGATAATAGCAAAATGCCAATTTAAAAGAGTAATATGTTTTAGTAATGTAGTATCCATGTAATCCATGGCATAGCTGTGTGTAATGTTTTTGCTTTGTTTTAGTCGAGGCAACAGCCTGACACCATATTCCAAATCTGTGCCAGCAGTTATTGCCAAAGCTTCTGCAATCTACAACCCCATCATATATGCAATAATTCACCCAAGATACAGGTACAGTAAATATATAGGTATGTGTATAACTGTACATGCAAATGTGGATCTTTTACATGGAACAAGCTACTCTAATTCCTTCAGCCTCACCCCGTGCACTGCATGTTCCTGAGCTGACCAGGCCATTATGGACTCCAGGTGGTCAGACCCAGCTGGTACATGGCAGCTCCAGACATGGCCTGGGGAGCAGCCAAAAGAGAACAGTCCCTTCCTTCACCTTTCCTCTCCCTCAGAGCCCTGCTCTGCCCTGTGGAACTGCATGACTGACATGAGGAGAAGATGATGCTCAGGTCACCATTCATCATACCAGAGACAGCCACTACAGAGCACTCTCTAAAGAAAAGGTCCCAACCAACGAGGCTCAAAAAATCATATCCTTACCAATTTAAGCAGCTCTATATGCATATGTTCAAGATTTGGTTTTCTGAAGCATTTTTTCCCAAAAAAATTTGGGACACTGGCAGCAAAAAATACTTTATTATACCACGGGGATATACTTGTAATAGAACTGCTGTCTAGCATACCTGTAGGATTTTTTGCAAGTCTTTCAAAGGGTAGCTACCACAAAGTGATGCTGTATCAAAAGTTCTGAGAAAACACGGGGATTCCATGGTGGTAAATGTGATAAATGTATAAATACCACTAGATGGCAGGGTTAGTCATTGAGATGAAGCTTGTTTCACCCAAGAGTGGAAAAGCTGGCAAATTACATTGCCTGACAACTCAGACTTGGGAGCTGGAAATTGAGTTCATTGTTTAGGATGTGTGACACATCATGACAGTGTGGTTGCAAGAAAGGTTCCTTGTTCCTTGAAACATGCCCAAAAGGGGTGAAAACATTTCACCCTATGATTCTATAGAATCATAGAATCATTTGGGTTGGAAGGGACCTTAAGGATCATCAAGTTCTCACCACTTGCATTGGGCAGGGACACCTTCCACAAGACCAGGTTGTGCAAAACCCCATCCAACCTGGCCTTGAACACTTCCAGGGATGGGACACCCACAGCTTCTTTGGGCAGCCTCACCAGTATTACAGTAAATTTCTTCCTAATATCCAAACTAAACATTCCCTCTTTCAGTTTAAAGCCATTCCCCCTTGTCCTATCCCTACAATCTCTTGTGAGAAATACATCTTCAGCTTTTCTGTAGCCCTCATTCAGGTTCTGGAAAGTGCTGTAAAGCCTGCCCAGAGCTTTCTCTTCTCCTGGCTGAACAGTCCAACTCTCTCCGCCTATCTGCGGAGAAGAGGTGCTCCAGCCCTCTGATCATCTTTGTGGCCCTCCTCTGGACATGCTCCAAGAGGTCCATGTCCTTCCTGTGCTGGGACTCCAGAGCTGATGCAGCCCTGCAGGTGGGGTCTCACCAGAGCAGAGCAGAGCAGAGGGGCAGAATCCCCCCCCTCCCCTGCTGCCCACACTGCTTTGGCTTCAGGACATGATCCAGGGCACATTTGGCTTTCTGGGCTGTGAGTGCACATTGCTGGGTCATGTCCAGCCTCTCATCCACCAGCACCCCCAAGTCCTTCTGGGCAGGGCAGTTCCCAATCCATTCTCTGCCCAGCCTGTGTCTGTTTCTGGGATTGCCCTGACCCACACACAGCACCTTGCACTTGGTATTGTTGGACTTTCTGAGGTTCCTGTGGGCTCCCCTCTCCAGCCTGCCCAGGTCCCTCTGGATGCCATCCCTCCCCTCCAGTGTGGCAGCCACACCACACAGCTTGGTGTCATCACCAAACCTGCTGAGGGTGCTCCCAATCCCACTGTCCCTGTCACCGACAGCGATGTTAAACAGGGCTGGTCCCAACACTGACCTCTGAGATCACCACTCTCACTGAGCTCCGCCTGGACATTGAGCCACTGACCATAACTCTTTGAGTGTGGCCACCCAGACAACTCCTTACCTACCAAGTGGTTTGTCTGTCAAATCCCTGTTTCTCCATTTTGGAGACATATTTTATTTGAAAATGTCTGATACCATAATAAACACCTTTTTGCATCCTCCAAAAACCATCTGAGTTTTTTGAAGTCTGCAGAGCATTTTAGTTTAGAGTAGGAGAATGACTAGTTTCTGATGGGTTGCAGAAGTTCAATGAGAAGTTTTGCATGTCTGGCTGATGTGTTTAGTACCTATTATTTGTTTCTGAACCAAAGTTATTTGGTTCAGTTTATTATTTTTGCAAGGAGCAGGTTGCCCAGAGAAGCTGTGGATGCTTCCCTGGAAGTGTTCAAGGCCAGGTTGGATAGGGCTTTGAGCAATCTGGTCTAGTAGTAGGTGCCCTGCCCATGGTATCAGGCTTGGAACTGGATGGTGTTTAAGGCTCCTTCAAGATCCCTTCCAGCCCACACCTTCCTATGGCTCTGTGACAGTGAACTGCTTCAGTCAGTCTTTTTCCTATCAGCATTGGCTTCTTAAGACTCTTAAGAAAAAGACTGGACTCCACAATGAGCTTTCAGACATTTTCTTAATAAGTATTTTGTTTTTATCTTGTTTTATTTTTTCCCTGCTTTCTAATCTGTATTTCTAGACATATCAACAAGAGAAATTTTTATGGACTTTTGAAGACATTTCATACACTTGGGAGCAATCCAATCAGGAAAAGAAGTAATGTTGGGTCCCTTGTGATGAATCAAGAATACAGTTTCAAAATTGAAAAAATCCTACAGTACACTAATAAGTCAGTTGGTAAAAATATGTTGGCAGGACCAATTTTGCTTAAACAGTGAATAATGATTATATATGTTAAGATTATTGTTTCTGGATAATTTCCAAATCTTCTAATTATTCACATTATGCCTTGAAAGCACAGATAAATGGGCCAGTCTGTTCAGGCCAAAGGGTTAAGGGTTTGAGCAGGGAATAATTTGTCATTTTATATTGGAACTACTGAACCAAATTATATCTAAGTTATTTTCCAAATCTTTCTAGAAAGAAGCATCCAGAAATCAGGATCAAAAGTGTTCAAATCTGGCTCAATCCACTAGCAAAACAAGATGCTTTTTTTTGCACAGAGAATTCCTGACACTTCATCTTAAAATCCTGACAAAACCAAGTATTTTTCTGGGGTTCCTTACCTTAAACAATAGAGGAAAAAACCCATACATTATAGTGAATGTAACTGAAAATGTATAGTGAATGTAAGCTTCACGCTAGCACTTGGCTTTTGAGACCTGGCTTGAGAGTTTGTTATGTTCCTCCTCATCTACCTCCTGCCCACCCATTCCCCACCAGCAGAAAGGAGAAAAACACTCTCCCTAACACAGGACTCTCAGGACAAATGTAAGTGAGGAATCTACTCAAAGCTTTAACTGTGAAATGCTCTATTGTGGGATAGAAAGCTTTCACATCTTTAACAACTTGTGTGTTATCTCTATATTTCACAGTAACTCTGACACATTGCTGTGTTAGAGTTATTGCAGAAACTCCCTTTCATTTTGGAAGTTTTAGGTTTTGGAATCATTCTTTCACAGCAAATAGGAAATTGTGCAACTCTGTGTTTCCAACTGGCTCCCAAGCAAAGCAGAATTGTACAAAAAATACTGGTCCAAACTCCTAAATCATAAATAATGTTCATAAATAACTTAGAGTTGCAGTATTTTTTTAAAAGTTGCTTGCAATTACTATATTACTATATTACATTTACTCTATGAGTCACTTTAGGGAACACTTTTATTTCAGATTATAGGAATACCATTAAATAAGTACCTCAGTTTATGCCTTTTACTTTTGTATATTTGTAATATACAAAATATTTGTAATATTTTGTATATACAATATTAAAACTCCCTTCAAAATCTGTACTTTCATCCCTACCAGCAAAATGTCCCTCAGTACTCCTCCCAAATATTAGTAAAATAGAAATTCTGATCCCTCAAGACATTCAGAAATGTCATCTATTTTTCCTTGAAAATTCACCATCAGACATTTATTTCCTGAATCTTCATCATAAAGAGACCTCTGTGCCAAATCCCATTTAATAAATGGGATGGTGTATTTTACACTAACTTGAACTTGACAGAGGGAAGTAGTTCAGCTTAGCTGGGGAAAAAAAGCTGACAGCTGCTTTTCAGCACCAGACTGAGTTCTTCAGCTTGAAAGAAAATTTCTGGGGGTTTTACATTTTCTCATGTCCTGTAAATCCTTTCTCAGGACTTTTAATTTTGTGCACAACATTAATAATCTTTTTTTACCCAGCATCATGTGAGCAGCCTTCTGCCCCAAGCAGCGCAGTGGGCCCTGCCTGGTCACTGATGGGCATCTTGGCAGGATCAGGAATGATGGTGCAGGCAGCTTTTTTCAGTCCCCATCTCCAGAGCAGACACAGAGCTGCTGTTCATTTGCCTTTGAAACTACAGAGAAAAGAGATGCAGAACTATTCAGAGAGTGGTGATGATGCCAAATATAGAGGTTTGATGGTGGTGGGTTTCTTTTCTTGATTACAAGTAAGTGACCTCATTTCATGATTCCAAAATCATGTCTCTGAAATTTTAACATGGGTGATATTTTGTGAGAATAGAAATGATGCTTTAAGATGCACTGGTTATTCAACAATCCTGGTAACTACAGAAGCAAAAGACTTTACAATATACATCTGCTTGACTTGCATCTCAGTGTAAAGTCAATGTACTGACATCCTCCAGCGATCCATGGTCCCCTGCATCAGTTCCTGGCCACATGCTTTGTTGCTGCCTCACTTTCTGACTTGTTAATTTGGTTTTTTTGCCCCTATTATCTTCATCTGTTGGATTCCCAATAATGGATTGGGAAGTGCAGGGGAGGTGTTGCACTAAATGAAGAGTTCTGACTAGCATTGCCCTGTGAGGATAAAGGCCAGCTGGCATTGCCATGGGGAGCCTCTTGGGCACTTCTGCTCCATGCAGGGCCACGGTTGGGGTCAGGAGAAATAGATGCACACAATCATGACCGAGATTATTATTTCATGAATAAGGCAGATTTGGGGTCTAGACCATCCTTCTCCTCTATGCTTGTACAGTGCTAATTTTCAACAGGAGCTTACAGTAGCTGCTGTGATACAAATAATTAACAACATCTGATTCTTATGGCCTTCTTCCTCTTCCCTTGTTTCCACTTATTTTGTGCCTTTGCACATTGAAGACATTTGTATCAACTAGCCTGAAATTTTCTGGGCTAACATTTGCAATAAACCATATGCAATCACGCTCTTCAAGATATTTTCAATTCTTATCACTTAGCTATGCAACTCTTCTGTGAATTTTGACACAAGGCCCAGAAGGACCTTTTCAGCCTGTTGAGTTGTTTGCACCAGCTACCATGCTGTTTGCATGTAATCTTTAAGACCTCCTTAATCAAAACAGAAGCTGTGTTGAGGTGATGGAAAGAGACAGTATTTTCACCACATGAATTTCAAAGCCGTGCCTTCAGTGTGACAGGTTTGGCTTTTTTTTATTTCTCACATTTTCCCTCAGAAAAACCATCCACCAAGCAGTTCCCTGCTTGAGGTTCCTGATACGAATATCAAAGAATGACCTTCTGAGGGGATCCATAAATGAGTCCTCGTTCAGGACCTCTCTCTGCAGCCACCACTCTCTTGCTGGCAAGACCAAGAGCATTTGTGTTTCCTCCATTTCTACTGGAGAAGCTGTAAGTCTTTTCTTGTTTCCATGAAAGAAAGTGAGTATAACATTTCTCAGACTCTAAATATGCAACACTATAAATACATATTCAAAATTAGAGAACAGAAAAGAGAAAGAGGAGTGTGTAGCTAAATTTTTTTGTCATGTAAGGTCATTTCTGTGAAGCTGGAAGTTCATGCATGATGATTTATGATCAGAAAAAGCATTCAGGCCAGCATATCTGTGTGATTAGATGCCTGCTGGGATCAAGGATGTTCAGATTAAATCTTTAATGTGAACTAAAAAGAGCCACTGTCAGGTGCTCCCTGTGTGATTAACTACTGGCTATGTTAGGTATCTCGCTAGTCTGGAGGACAAGAAAACAATCTTCCGTCCAATATTTTATAACTTATCCAAGAGCTCTCTTATTACTTTAAAAGAAGTCCATTTTCCGTAGGATGGGAAATTTTTGACTTCTTTACATAGATTTTGACCATGAGGAGTGAAAAGCGCCTGCCCCTAGAGCATGGTGCAGTGTTTTGTAGGAATATACCCCAGGCATCAGTGAGGCTGGTGACTGAGTAAGGTAGAAACAAAAGAATCCCTTGAGATCCTTCACAGCCTCTCTCAGTTACAAGAAGCTGGCTTTGCCTGCAGAGGTGCTGGAAAGGTGGCTCCTCGGAGGGGGTGGCAGCCATGGCAAGGTCTGGGCTAGGGCTGGCCCTCCTGGGGACCTGTGCTGCTCCCGCTCAGTTTGGGCATCAGGAACCTCCCAGAGCAACAGCTGCCACCAGTAACCTCTGACAAAATTATAAATCCTAGGTATCCCTTTTATACCTTCATGTATAAAAACATATTTCTCCCATTACTCTGTTGTTTGAGGCCAAATGAATTAATTTCAGCTGCATCATCCTGATCCAAGAAGCTTTCTGGTCTTCACTGTTGGTCACTACTCAGTTTTGGTTTGTTTGTGTTAGCAAATTATTGCATGTATTTCAGTGTGGGTGCTGCTTAAATAGACAGGATAATGAGGGTAAGAGTCTTTAGCTTTTGGCACAGCTTTGGCTTAGGAGTGTCATTGAAAACCCCCACTGTTAGCAGTGCACAGCACTGTGCTGTGCTGAGCTGATGCAGCCAAAGGCAATTGTCCTTTGGGGCAACTGACAGCTCAGTGCAGCTGTGGAGGTTTTATCTGAAATAGCAGCTGTTGAAATAAAAGCTAAGCTTGAGGACTTTGGCATGACAGCAGGACTGACTGAAATTTGGCAAGGCTCCAATAAAATATTGATGGGCAAGAAATGACACCAGGAACACTGTAAAGGTGCAGCTGTTGCTACAACATTTTCTTCTGTGTGTTGTGTACATGTTAGTGAAGGGAACAAATGTGATTCATGTCGAGGAATGTTTAATTCAAGGAGTTTTATTCAACAGGTGAGGGGAAATAAACAGGTGCCCACACACAGAGGTATGAGCACGGTGATGCAGAGGAGTTGTGTACTATCTTCCCACTTATGTGGAGCCCTGTCTGCCTGTCTGGCCTCTGTCTATCCATATCTAAAATCTCATGTTGGAGTGGAATGATTTCATCGTTGATACTCAATCAAAAAGCCACCACTAAGTAAGGGATGACAGATGGCCTCACCCCAAGCCTGTAAATGGAACATCACTTTTGCAATGTCCCATATGTGCTTCTAGGTTTCTAAGAGCGTGCTGACGTGCTCTTAGAAAACTAAAGTAAAGCCCAGCCACTGTCTCCTATGCACTAACGGTGGTTTGCAGAATCAGCAAGCTCATGCAGATTGAGAAGCCCTTGGTGTTCTGCATATTCTGCTGGGATGTATGCAAACATGGTTTTGGATCTGTCCATGTCCATGGTTTTGTATCAACTGGTGGTCACACAGAATGCCACAAGACATATTAAACAGATTGATTTTATTGGCTCCTATCTTTAGAATTCAGATCCTCTGCAGGTGTAAGTGTAGCATAAGCAATGACATAAAAAAGGGTGAAAAACATCCTGGTGAAAAGAGTTTAAATAAATTTTCCTTATTTCTAAGTTGGTTTTATTTTTTGGTCAGCAAGCAAAATAGCCCAGGGAAAGTGACAAGACTGAAAAGAAAGCCTCTCCCCAGGGGAGTTTTGAGTGTGAGACCTATGTTAGAATGGCTTTACTTTTCTGTGAATATGCATGGGTTTTGCTAGAGTTTGAGAACTTACAAGAATTTGAGGAAGAATGCAACTGTCTGAAATCCTTCATCCATTTGTGATTAGACCTGGAGCAATGTAGAGCTCGACCCTGTAGAGCCAGCTCAAGAGAAACTGAAGCCTCGCCGAAGTAATTCTTTCTCCACGAGTCTGAGGCAAGAGAAGAGAGACCTGCTCCCAAAGACCTGCAGCTATGATGCAGCCACTGCCCAAAAGGTACAGAAAAAGATCTCAGCTGAGGACTCTCTGTTTTAGTGCTAATCTTGCTGCAGTACATCATCTCTGGAATGATAATTCAGCCTTTATGCCCATCTATTTCTTCTGTAGGCTTTATTTATACTGATTCTAACATCCTCTTTCTTGCTGTTATTTCTTTTCTTTCTTTCTTTTTTTTTTTTTTTTTTTTTTTTTTTTTTTTTTTTTTTTGCGTGTCTGTGTGACAAATGAGAGTGCCAGTAATGCCTAATTAACTTTTTTCACTGATATTTGCCTGCTTTTGGAAAACTAGCTCTGCTTATGGCTCTGAAGCTGCATTAAGGTATAGTCAATAGCATCAGAAGTAAGATGAGTTCTTTGCCTCTTTGCCTGTTTATCTACACCAGTTTTGGTTCCTTCCATCATGGTCCTTGTGTCCATACTGTGGCAGTCTCCTTTTAGAGTAAATTCAAGTCTGCAAAACAGTTTGACATGCTAGAAGCGACCCTTTTCCTTCTTTTCAATGTACATTAAAATGTTTTATTTTTGTTGAGGGGGAAGATGAGAAAGAAACTCCCATTTCTCCCTAAGGGTGGGAGAGCCTGGCAGCTGCCACCCTTCCCTCACTGAAAGAGGAGATGGTGAGTACTCAGTGCATCCTCTGTGGATGCATCACCCCCGTTGGCCAAACCACTGAGGTTTGGTGTTCTGTTGTTGAGGAGCACCCCATTCCCTGATGGGAGCAGTATGTCACCCATGAGTCAGCTTCTGCCAGATTGTAACACCAGTTTCCAAATGAGTTCTTATATGGGTAGCACAGTGTCAGGCATACACCAGTGCTGCCTTTTCAGGGAAAGACTGATGTGGCTTACAATCCCCTGTCTGTGGCTGGATTGAGTAGCACCACCTTTTTTGATGGAGGCACCCTTTTGTGGGGTTACTCTAATGCATGTGGACAACCACCCACACCTTGGGCAGCTACAGCATCTGCCTCTGTCCCCTGTGCTCCCTTCCAGATCTGATGGTAATTGTCTAGAGGCAGCATAGTTTAAAGCAGGAACTGCTCTGAAAATTTCCAGCCAACCAGTGATCCAGTTCCTGCATGCCTCTGTGCTGTCCTCTTTCATGTGTGTCATTAAGATCAATTCCTGAGAAACCTTGTTCTTTTCCTGTAACTGTTGAGAACAGTATTGCTGGAAAAACAGCAGCTTCAGATGTGGTGTCAGGCAACATGGGCTCAAATCTACATCTTAGTTCTGCTGCTTTCTGTCAGCAGTCAAGTGTGCCCAAGGTTGTAGGCAAGTGGAAAGGATTTTGTCTCCAGGTTCTGGAGAATCACTGGCTTTTGGTCTCACAAAGAAGGGGAAGGGAAGTAAATCTCAGGTGGTCTGCTTAAACAGTTCAGTAATAAAAGAAATGTATCTGTAATATGTAAATGTATCTGGAATTTAGCAAATGTGTAGCCCGCAAGAAGGCCCATGTGCTGTACTTCGCCTTTGAAAGACTTATCTTGAATTGCTTTGATAAATAACCCTTTAGATTTTCAGTGGCATTCACTGAGCTATGAGGAGTTTATTTACATTGAATGTTCAAAGCCTCATTTGCTTTTCTTACTGTTTTCAGCAGAGGCTCCTGTGTGTTGTGAAAATCCTTTGTGTGTTCATTGCAGCTAAATGCAATGCATCACTATTCATGTTATCAGAGTAAATATTTATTTGTTAAGCTCAGTTAGAGTGTTTCACAATGAGACCACCCATTTATCCTCAAAAAAAACCCCCAAAAACAAAAACAAACAAACAAAACCCCCAACAAACCAGTGCATTTTTTATCTTTATTTTAAGTTTTTAATAAAATTACTGGATTGTCTTTGACTGAATTTCAATTATAATACTTACAAAAACACTCAGTTGTGGACAAGCCAGTCAGTGTCCCAGGCTTGGTGCATTCCAAAGCATAAAAACACATGTGACTGTTTTCTGTGCGGCCACAAAAATATGATCCAGCCCTATGACTTACTTCAGTTATGATAGTAACAAAGTTGATGTAGGCTGACACCTGGAAATTTAACATGGCAGTGAAGAGGCTTTTCTGAAAGTATTAAAATGTGGGTTTGGATGTTGATTTCAAAGAAGAGTGGTCAAATGTCCTCTCTGCATCCAGATTTTGTTTCAAGGGAATTACCTGATGTGAAAACTATTAAAAAAACTTGTAAGTGGGTGTTGTGCCCACCAAGACACGTCCAAAAGAAACCTGTCCTTCTGTTGCAATGAAAACAGCACTTGAAACAGGAAGGAGTGGTTTTGGAGTTGGATTTTTTCATACTATTATTGTCTTTAATATGGAAGAATGGAATTTTCTTCTCTGTCACACTGATTAAAGCCACTTTTTTTAGCACAGTGTGCTTCCCTCCACTTGGTATGTAGAGCAGCTGGAGAAATCATTATCAAGAGGGATTTGTGAATGATTCCTGCTTGTGGAGTTGAATGACACAAAACTATGGAAATTCGCACAGCAGTGAAGTAAAACCTGCACTTTACTTTAAATATTGATTTTCCCTAGAAAGGAGGGACTTCCAGCTTACCTCTACATCTGACACAGTGATTTTATCACCTTGATTGCAATATTTTTTTTAAAGAAGCAAAAACTGATTATTTATGCCTTCCCTTGCCTGTATATTTGAATATTAACTGATGCTTTCAAAGCTTACTTAGTTGACTCTGAATTTGCATACTGTGCACAAGACTTATGGAAAGAACACAGAGACCTTGCTATCAGAGCCAAGTTAGAAATCAGAATTCTCTCAAAATAGGCAGATAAGAAATTGCTTGCAAAGTGAGTATTTATTGCTTCTTTTTTGGAGGAAGCACTTTCCAATATGTGAGTGCAAGACCCCCAGCTTCCCTGAGGTAGTATCAAGGAGCCATTTGGGGAAAGACAGAGATTGCCACAAGGTTGACAAAACTTTAGGAAAAAAAATAATGAAGTGTACTTGAGTCTTATCTGAGATCTCTTCCATGAGAAGAGAGAGAAGTGCAATAATCTAGTACCCTGATACCCTGAGATGTGTTAAAAATGAAGTAATACCATTATTTAATGATTAAATAAGTCAGACACAAGTATGAGTTTTTGGTTTTTTCTTTTTTTTTCTTTTCAGTCTCTGCTGATATTTGAGTATGTCTTCTTTTGCTCCATTTAACATTCTGCTTTCCAAGCAGTACATGTTAGCACATCACGAGTTTCCTTCAAGCTAATGATTGCAAGTGTTTAGAAAATTAGCCTGGTGGCTCTAATATTGACTAATTGTAATGAATATTCCAAATACTGCTTTCCACAGCCACATGGTGTCTGACAATGCTAAATCTTATGTCTCCACTCCAGGTTTCACTCTCCTCCAGCTGTTTGGAAAAGGTGCTTGGGCAGCCTGTCCTACCCAGTCCTTCTGCAGGACTCATAACCAGCTCCCTGAGAGCAACTTCTCTGCCTGTCAGATTGAATAGCAGCAGTGCCACCACTGGAGACTCAAGTACTTCCCACATGGATACTCAAGGAAGTCAAGTGAATGGAGTTGTGGATTCTCTCATTAGTGGTGCAGTCCCTCGCATCATCATCATTCCTACCTCAGAGACCAATCTGTTTCAGGAAGAACTGGAAGAGGAAGAGACTGAATTATTCCACTTTCATGACAAAAAGGGCAATCTGCTGGACTTGGAAGGGCTTAGCTCATCCATGGAGTTCCTTGAAGCTGTTGAGAAATTTCTATCCTAAGTTTGTCAAAAGAAAACTTTCCGGTAATTATTTTCTTGGCATCTTCTCCACTTAATTATACCAAATAACTGAAGCCTTGTAGGTTAGATCATCAGATTTTTTTTTTTTTTTTTGTATGTTTATATAGTAGTCACTAGGCAGCCTTCAGATTTATCTTTGTCCAGACCAGCTCAGGCATGGAAACAGGCTTTCTTTCATATTGTGCTACAGGAAATGAGCAGTGGAAGATCTGGCAGCACAATCAAGTGGCACTGGTCAAGGAGGCCGCTTGATCTGTTGCCACTGATGGGGATGCCAGCAGAAGGGAAAACAACTGACTGAGAGCAGTTGCTGAATGCTTCTGCTATCTGCACATGGAACAGCATTCCTGTTTTGGCAGCTCTGCTCTGGACAGTGATGGGAAGCACCACAAGACTGCAGCTTCCACCAACCCCAGCAATAAGGCAGATGGCTACATGACCTCAACTAGAGCTTAATCAAATAATTCTCAGCATTGTTTTTGCTGTGTTTTATTTTTTAAAAAGGCAGTGTTCTAAACATAAAGAAAGAAACTGGTAGTTTTTCACTAGGAAGAGACTACTTCCCAGCTTCTAATCCACTGATGTTTAGTGGCAGAAATCTGGATTTCACCATTTCACCTAAATGTCAAAATGCAAGGTGCTATATGCTAAAACATTCACTACTGTAGAAGCATTCAGAGTACCTTCAGAGTTACAGTCCTGATTAAATATGTATGTATCCTAAAGAGTCTGTGATTGAAAGGGTGAACGCTCACAGCTGGCTTGACAAGTCATTGACAAAAATAAAGCCTTGGCTGCTATATATCACTTGTCCATTCAGGGGAGGTTCTTCTCATCTCCTCTAAAACAAACCAGCAGATGTCTTCTACAGGTCACTTACCAGAGGCCTTGAAAGTGGGCAAAACATCATCCTGGGGAGAGAACCACATGGTACTGTGCTGTTTGCTACAGGATCTGCACTTAGATCATTATCTGCGTTGCTAATTGTGCTCATTTTTTCTGTGCTTCATATTATAGCTCAGGCTCACAGGACTCTCCTAGCATTTTATTCCTAACTGCACTCTTCCTTTTTTTATTCATTTACCCATTTCTCCATGTCTTCCCTTTCAGTCTCTCATTTTCAAACATAGACAACAAGTTGAACTACATTGTTCTTCACATAATAGCAATATATCTTAGTAGAAATCAGGTGCTCCTCTGGATAAAATAGCACAATTATTTGGTCCAGGTAGACTAATAGTACTGAGGCATTCAACAAGAGAGTGAATGTTCATAGTCTCATTTATCTCCTTGGCTGTATCCTAGATTGTGCAGAGACCGGTGAGAGAATTTTCAAGTTTTGTGTATTACACTGGCTGATCTCGGGAAGTAATTTCTCTTTGCCCATTTTTCTGATGCAAAAACTAGATGGGAAGCATAGAAGTGTTTTTAATTACTTTTTTTCATTACAAAAAAAGACAACACAGATCTTGTTTTCAACAAGCTAGACAGGAACACCACTAAAGAACAAATGAAAACCCAGAGCAGCACAAGAGAGCAAAGAATGCCCCCAAACTTGCACACCTGAGGCTCTGTAAGGTGCCAGACCTTTGAGAGGACTGTGACACTTGCTTTTGATATAGACTGTACAATTTTTAGAAAAATAAAAAAAGAAAAGGCACTGGTGGGTTACAGAGGTGATTGCTGTGACAGGCTGCCTAATGCAATGCTGACACTCTTAATGCTGCCATTCTTTGAGGTGCTCTGCTGGCTAGAGACCCTCATACTTCCTTCCTGTGGAAAGCAGGGTGGAAATCGGGAGTGGAGCCCCATCATGTGAACAATTGCCTGTTTGTAGCCCTGGTGTGCGGTGCTGGACCAAGGCTCAGCTGGGGCAGCACCAGGCTGTGGTTCCTGCAGCCAGGCTGCCAAATCCTGTGCCCACTGAGTGCCAAGTCTCCTGACGGGGCCAGGAATCAAGCCAAGGTCATCTGCAATGAGCTCAGCAATTCCAAAGGCAATTCCTCCTTTTGAGGACTGGCACAGTGAGCAAAGAGTGCAGGACAGCTGCTGGGGACCGGGACAGGGATGTGCTCACTTGCAGTTCCACAGCACCAGGTTTTCATCCACTGCATGGTTTTGACCACAATGAGTAATCAAATGTTAATTCTGTATTATGTTCATGGGAAATGGGGCAGGCTTAGTCCTAGGCTAAACATACTGTCCTGCCATATTGGATTCTTGTCCTTTTTTTTTTGCTGAACCTGCCCTTTCTGATTTTTCTTCTTTTCCTACACCAACTGTGCAGACCTTCCTTCTTGCATTTAATATCCTCAGCTACTGTATCTCTTTTCTTCTTGAGCCAGATATTAGGAAGCAAGTGTTCTTTCAAGGCTTCCAAGCCTTAGACCTGACTTTTACCATTGTAATTACTCCAAATAACAATAGAAAATGCATTTGGTGTTCTATGTTATAAAAACATGCCCTGGAGTGGATAGATTTTGCACTCAGATTATGACAGAGTTATACTGGGAAGACTGTAGGCAGTGTATTGCCATAGACTTTGGCAGGATGAAGAATGGAAGACCTGAAGTCATAGCCAACAAATTCTTCCTTATCTGAAGTTTTGCATTCTGTTAGCCTGCAAGAAGGCTCTCCAGTGACCTCTTGTATGTGTTTGGTACTATTACTGTGCTGGTACTGTGAGCGTGTCTCAGAAAATTAGCAGGCTTGAGGTGTGTGCAAACAATGTTTCACTTTTATGCTGTTAGTGTCATGCACTGTTAGTACCATTGCTTCAGAAGCTGCTATCGAGATTGCTGCTTGTCTAAACTGATGCAGGCTAAAATACTAAATGGTATAATGGTAGAGAGATAAAACCTAAAGTTGTATGAAATATCAGATAGACTTACTGCAGTCACTGTGAGACTTGTGCAGAAACATCAGACACAGAGTAAATTAGTCTCAAATTGAATACCACAATGCAGGAGAATTTTGCAAGCTTCTCTGTTGCCACATTATAATAGATGGCACATAAAAATGTACACTAATTAATGTTGCTTCCCATTTCACAAAGGAATGTATTGGTTCACTTTAATGGAATAAAAAATTCTTAGGAGTTAAACTGAATTATCCATTGTTTGTTTGTCTTATTTAATAATTATTTTTGGAGCCAGAAGGAGGAATAAAAAAAGTTGAGTCAAAACTTTTGAAACCTGTGTCTGATCTAGTTAATAGTAAAATACATATATATATATATATATATATATATATATATATGACTTTTATTTTCAAGTTACTTAGACTGCTCAGGTGCAAGCACTCACCTACTTGAGTGCATAACATTTAAATTTAGAGTTCACTGGTTTGGTAAAACCTGAAGTTGTGCAGCTACTTTTGAAATACAATGACTTGAGCTGGGATGTCTGGTATCAGGTGAACAAAAGTTAAAAAAATTAGCCAAAGTCAATACATCAAAGCTCTGATAGAAGACTTTGATCTTTGACCTAAATATGAATGAAATTTAATGAGTAATTGTTTGTTTCTGCTAAAAATCTGTATAGCACAATTATAGGATATGTTCCAATTTTCATGACTAACAGAAAATCCAGAGCACAAGTGTAAACATTTTCTTTTATCATGGACAAAGGTATTTTTTAATAGTTAAATCAATGGTTAGATAAAGTTTTCAAATAAGAAAATCTACTTACTTGAATCTTAATGAATCTTGCAGCTTTGGGCTGGTATGAAACATGACCTAATACCACATTCTCCCAGAAAGCTCACTCATTTCCCAGACGTCCACCCATTTCCCTCCTTTCAGGAGGCACACCTGAACAAGAAACGATTAGCACCAACATATAACCTTATTTGGTTTTAATCACATTTTTTGGCTGTATTTCAAACCTTTCTGGGTTTATTGACCAAGACCTAGTCTCCTCTGCTCTTCTGTGTTTAAACCAGGTTGTAATTTTTCTCTCTAGTTTAAAATAAAAAAAACAGCCATAGAAAGTCACACTGCCCTAAGAATGCCATTTTCACCCTCATAGCAGCAGCAGGCAGCTGTCATAACACCAGGCCAACAGCAGAACCCTCCCAAGGAGGACAAGACCACCCCAAAAAGGTAGGGATGACATGTCCAGGCTGCAGTGACAGGCAGGGGTTGGGGGCTGAGGGTTCCACACCAGGGGTTTGGGGTTACAGGATGTGGGTCTCAGATTCAGTCAAAGAAAGAAACTGAGAGTTTCTAGCCAGGCAGACGCCTGAGAAAGAGCTGGAGAGAATGTAAATATTTCTTTATCTCTCTTGTTTTTCACATTGTTTATAGTTAAGTTCTATCACTGCGCGTCAAACACTTTGCAGCAATGGTGTAGGTTGTTTTCACTTCAGGACCAATGAAGTTGGTCCTCAAGAAGCTCTGTATAAAAGAGCAGTGTATTTTGAATAATCCGGAGTTTTACTCTCAGCAGCCTTCTGAATCTGAGTCTTCTCATTCCCGTCCTGCCTTGACAGCGACAACAGGACACAGCAGCAGGTCTGGGTACAGACAGGGCAGAGTAGTTAGGGACCAGGGTCCAGAGCCAGTGGTCAAAAGGCAGGGGTCAAGGATAAGGGGTAAAGGGTAAGAGTCAAGGGTCAGGGATCAGAGGGCAAAGATTGTAGGTCAGGGTTTCTGATGTACAAAAATGGAAGTATACTGCACAGTAAATACCTTTTTTTTCTTAATTTCCTTACTTTCCCCACAGCCCTTGGTTTTTGGTGGGTTTTTTGTTTGTTTGTTTGTTTTTGTTTTGTTTTTAGGTTTTTGTTGTTGTTACATCTGCTCTTTACTGCTTCTCTGTTCAGGTTATCCTTGCTATTTTTCGTCTGGCTCTGTCACAACTACATGAAAGCAAAGCAACTTAGTGGGGAGATGAAAACTTGGGTACATATGCAGCAGACTCCTTTCTCACATAGGAGTAATCAACACTACCCTCAGTGCTTGGATTCAGCAAGTCCATGCTGAACCTTCCCCACCTCCTCGCAAGGTGGAAGCAGCTGAGGTGCATCTCCTGGTTTATCTCAACACAAGCTGATGATCTTGCTCTGCAAGATCTTGCTCTGCACCT